AGCTGGCCTGGAAGAGGGGCAACCGGGACAGAATCCGGCGCCCTGACCGGGACTAGAACCCGGTGTGCCGGCGCCGCAAGGTGGAGGATTAGCCTATTGAGCCACGGCGCCGGCCAGTCTTACTATTTTTTAAAACTATTGCTTCTAGGAGTTGCTTTAATGAATTGTTTTTATTTTATTTTATTTATTTATTTATTTTTTGACAGGCAGAGTGGACAGTGAGAGAGAGAGACAGAGAGAAAGGTCTTCCTTTGTCGTTGGTTCACTCTCCAATGGCCGCCACGGCCAGCGCGCTGCGGCCGGCGCACCGCGCTGATCCGATGGCAGGAGCCAGGAGCCAGGTGCTTTTCCTGGTCTCCCATGGGGTGCAGGGCCCAAGCACCTGGGCCATCCTCCACTGCACTCCCTGGCCATAGCAGAGAGCTGGCCTGGAAGAGGGGCAACCGGGACAGAATCCGGCGCCCCAACCGGGACTAGAACCCGGTGTGCCGGCGCCGCTAGGCAGAGGATTAGCCTAGTGAGCCACGGCGCCGGCCGCTTTAATGAATTGTTATAAAAAAGTGATTTATTAGTATCATATTGTTCGAATGCAAATAGATCTTAAAAGAAGTGAAAACTAATTCATTTTATGGAGTGGGATGAACATTCCCTGTGGGATCTTGTTTGCAAACTCAAACATTTTGTAAGCAAAGAATGCTAAGATAAACTCCTTATTAGGTGAAATGATCACAAAACTGTTGCTTGAACTTTGAGTAGAAGCCACTGCCCAAGTGAGATGCCCTAATTTCAAAAACATGAGGGAAAAATGTCAATTTTGAGGTTTTTCTTTTTACATATCTTTATTCTACTGCCACAAAATTGCAAGTAACGGCCAACCCACTGCACAACACCATTGGTGTTGGATTATTCATGTGTGGATCATCTAAGCAGCTCCCTGACAGCGCTGTGTTTGTGTCTTTGTGTTCTATTTGCCCTTCATCTTTACTGCCCCTCAACACACACACTCCCAGACAATTCATAAGTACTCATACACCAACACCACATGTACACAGTCTCTCGCGCGCACGTGCACACATGCGCGCGCGCGCACACACACACACACACACACCCTACTTTGCCCAAAGCAGGCAGTTACAAAAAAAAAAAAAAAAATCCATAGATCCTTCCAAACAGCATGCCTCTGTTCCCTTTCTCCTCACCGTAAGGTTCCCTTTCCTGAATATCACCCAGGGTGGGTGGGAAGAAAAGAAAGGAGGAAGGAAGGAAGGGAAATCATGGTCTCCACCCAGGCCTACCAGTGCAGGCTGTGAGAAGCAGAAGGCTCCTGCTCTCTGCATGCTGGCATCTCTCCTGCCATTTTACTGAAACTTCAGGGTGTTTTTCTCTGTGCGGCACCCACGCTCCCCCCCTTTCTGCCAAAGCTCCTTGTTGTGACAGTGAGAGGCTGCTGGGTTGGGGGAGGGTAGTGCAGCTAGGTACCTCAGGGCTGAGTTACAGCTCCCCCTCCAGGAGATCAGGCTACCAACAAATCCTAGAAGCTCCCTCCAGCTGACCCTGAGCATGGAATGAACACACAGAGTTGTGCAGCCCCTCCCTCGCCTGTACAGACATACACACACACACATGCAGGACTATCACTGGCAGCACGGCCAGTAACAGTCCTGACAGTAACAGTCAGGCAGGAAATCCCATTTCTCAGTGGCGTGAATCTGCCCAAAGCAATGCTGCCTAGGCCCTCCTCTCCCCTGGGCTGAGCAAACCGTGATATATGAGAAGGGCACACTTCAAGCAGAGGGCCTGATGGTGGCAATGCCAGCAGCCTACCTGACACCAGCTTAGCAGTCTCAGCACACAGGAACCAGAGATACCTGTCCTCAGGGCTCCAATAGCACACCCTGGAAAACAGACACAAGTCCTGGTCAGAGGGCAGAAGAGAGGGGCAGTAGCCCATAGACTGTGGCCTCACTCTCTTCAGGCTCAACTGATAGCACGTAGGTCTGGAGCCTCTCTGAAGGTAAGGCCCTGCTACATGAAGGAAAAGAGAAAGGATAGGACTTCTCAGAGCTCTCCCAAAGCTCCAGGTGAACCAAGCAAGAGAAGCCAGGTGATGTACTGAATACCAGAGGACCCACTGCTGCCAAGCTAATCCTAGTCAGGAAAGTGAAAAGGACATTCTCTGTGGTGAGGGACACAAGATGAGAGCATGGGCTCAGCTCTGAGTAGCCAGTCTCATAGCCACCAGTGGGAAAGAATGCTGCCTCCCTCCCTTCCTACATCCTCCTCTCTATTAGGTATCTAAACACATTCTTGTATTTCAATATTTTAAATTACTTCCCTATTCATTTATTTTTATTTACTCGAAAGCCAGAGACACAGAGATCTTCCATCTGCTGGTTCACTCTCCAAATACCCACAGCAGCCAGAGCTGGAACAGGGCTGAAGCCAGAAGCTCAGAATTCAATCTGGATCTCTCATGTGAGTAGCAGGAATCCAGGTACTTGAGCCATTACCTACTGCGTCCCAAGGTGTGCATTAGCAAGAACTGGGAATTGGAAGGAGACTCAGGACTTGAACCCAGGTGCTCTGATGTGGAATGCAGGTCATTAGGGTCTGTGCTAAACACCTGCCCCTAATTCTTGTGCTGTATGCAAATTTTAAAAATTTAAATAATTCCATAAGGTTTTACTGTAGAGAAAGTTGAGAACCCTTGGGAGATTATGGATTTTACATGACTTGATAAAGATTACAGGGCCAGCAAATGAAAGACCCAGGATTTGCACAGGCCTAGATAAGTTAGAACCTTTGCCCTTTCTATTGCATCTCCAGGACATGCCACTGGAATCCCTCCCAGATTTCTCTGAAGGGCTGGGAGAAATGTGTCTGGCAGTGAAGATAGTGTTGCAGAAGACAGAGAAGGCACCTGCCTATTGACTTTTTTAAAATTAATTAATTTATTTGAAAGGCAGAGTTACAGAGAGGCAGAAGCAGAGAGAGGGAGAATCTTCCATCCACTGATTCACTCCCCAGATGCCTTCAACAGTCGGAGCTGGGCCAATCTGAAGCCAGGAGCCAGGAGCCTCTTCTGGGTCTCCCACACGGGTGCAGGGGCCCAAGGACTTGGGCCATCTTCCACTGTTTTCCGTGGAGCAGCCAGCTCAACCCGGTGCCCATATGGGATGCCATCACTGCAAGCCACAGCTTTACTGCTAAGCCACAACGCTGGCCCCTTGTTGACCTTTTTTTTTTTTTTTAAAGATTTATTTATTTATTTTAAAGTTGGAGTTATACAGAGAGAAGGAGAGGCAGAGAGAGAGAGAGTGAGGTCTTCCATCTACTGGTTCACTCCCCAATTGGCCACAATGGCCAGAGCTGTGCGGATCCGAAGCCAGGAGCCAGGAGCTTCTTCTGGGTCTCTCAAGTGGGTGCAGGGGCCCAAAGACTTGAGTCATCTTCCACTGCTATCCCAGGCCACAGCAGAGAGCTGGATCGGAAGTGGAGCGTCCAGGACTGAACTGGTGCCCATATGGGATGCCAGCACTGCAGGCAGCAACTTTATCCATTATGCCACAGGGCTGGACTCTCTGTTGACCTTCTGAGGGATAAAGGGTAGTGCAACCTGGATCTCTGGACACTCAGTTAGTTTTGTACAAGTACTATGAGATAGGCTCACTGCCAGTCCTGGTTAGGCAGTGTCCAATACCATGGGTGATTCATCTAGAGCCATTTCTCCTCCAGGACTCCCCTTTCTTGGCCAATGTGTTACATGACTACAAAATGCCCAGCCCCGGACATGCAAAGAATGTGTTGACTCAGACCCATTTTTTAGATTAATAAGCACATGGTGATACAGGCTGTTTGTTCAGTGATATGCTGCCTAAACTGGAATGTGCCAAATTTCCTTCTCCCACTTCCCCCAGCTCCACCTCCTCTCCAGGTCCTGGCTGCCACCCCTGCCACTCTGGCAGGGAAGTCATTCTGCACTACCTCAAGCAGGCAAGACTGACAGTCTGCAAAACTCAGCTTACCAACCGTGCAGCCTCCCCATGTTCTGAAGTCTCTCCAAGGCCTCTGTGTGTGTGTGTGTGTGTGTGTTTGTGTGTGTGTGTAAGCTGTATTTTTTTCCTTGTCAGTTGGCAAACTCATTGGTTTCCCTATCTTCTGAACATGTCCTAGCATGGCAGGTACTTAATTTCATACTAGATTTAAGGAAGCAGGCCTGAGCACCTCCTTCATGAGGCAAGAACTATGGATTGGACTTTCCTGTGGCTGACTACACTGAAGAGTCCTCTTCCAAGAGGGGCTGCCAGTAAAAGGTTACCCCTTATCTTCTTCCAAATAGGACTACTCCTCCCTGCAGCCCAAACAATTCATTCAAATTCTCACTCATTCAACAAGTGTTTACTGAGTCTCCATAAGCCAGAACCCACCCACACCAGGTGCAGGGACAAGGTAGTAAACAGACAGACAGCACTCTGCTCTCCTGAAGCTTGAGTTCTAAGGGGAAAGCAAATAAGAAACGAGCAACCCAGGGGCTGGTGTTTTCCACAGTGGCTAAGTTGCTGCTTGGAACACCTGCATCCTTCGTGGGCGTGCCTGGTTCAAGTCTTGGCTCCCAGCATCTTGCTAAGGCATATTCTGGCAGGCAGCAGATGATGGCTCAAATAACTGGGACCGTGCTAACCACATGGGAGACTCAGACTGAGCTCCGGGATCCTGGGGTTAGACTGTCCCAGCCATGGTTGTTCCAAGCATTTGGGGAGTAAACCAGCACATAAAAGATCTCTGTTTCTCTATCTTTCAAATAGCATGAAAATACACAAAAATTAAAACAAGAAATAAGCAAATCAATAATCAGAGCTAGGATGAATCTTAAATAAGATGATATGATACAGCAGGGCAGGGACTGATCAGCAAACCAACGTCTGTGGGCCAAATTGGCCCACCACCTGCTCTGTAAATAAAATTTGCAAATAAAACAAAGAAAGAATGCTTGGCAGGGGGCTACTTTATTTTTTCTTCTTTAATTTGTATTTTTTAAAGAATTTTTTAAAAAAGATAATATACTTAATAAGTCTACACATTTTAAATAGAAGACACTATGCAAAGAAGTCTCTCTCCTGGTTCTGCCTCCCAGCTATCCAACTTCCTTCTCTGTGAGCACCAAATGTTAATTGTGCATTCTTCCGGAGAAAGTCATTCATACAAAAACAAGTACATGTGAATAGTCTGTTTTTGTCCTTAAGGAATTTATTTTAAATTTGAGAGAACAGAGGAAACTTGTAATGTTGGCTAAAACTTGAATGATAAGGTTTCAGGAAGTGAAGATGTCAGAGCAGCAGCTTCCAGGCGGTGGGCACAGTTGGTACAAAGGCTCTGAGCTAGACTTGACATGGTAGGTCCTAGGGTGAGACAAGAGGGTTATGTGTTTGGGGCATGCTGGGTAGGCCAGAGAGCAGTGATTTAAGATGAGCTGGAGAGAATTAGGAAGCAGGAAGTTTCTCTACTTAAAGTCTAATGTCCATATATCCCTGCTCCTGAGTATTCACACTGGGGTGGGAGAGAAGTCATTCCTGATAGCTAACTCTATGTCCTTCAGTCTTTAAGTAGAGTCAGTCTGACATTTTTAAAATATATATATCTTTATTTATTTATTTGAAAGTCAGAGTTACACAGAGAGAGGAGAGGCAGAGAGTGAGAGAGAGAGGTCTTCCATCCACTGGTTCACTCCCCGACTGGCCTCAACGGCCAGGGCTGCGTCGATCCGAAGCCAGGAGCCAGGGGCTTCTTATAGGTCTCCCACATGGGTGCAGGGGCCCAAGGACTTGGGCCATCTACTACTGCTTTCCCAGGCCACAGCAGAGAGGTGGATCAGAAATGGAGTAACTGGGGCTCAAACTGGTGCCCATATGGGATGCCAGCACTGGATCCATGGTTAGCATTTCTAGATGCAGGTCCTACAATCAGAACTCCCAGCCCAGGTAATGGGAATCATCCTGGTGAGGGCGACGATTATCCTCCTAACTGGGGAAGATGGGTCCTTTTCTGATGGCAAAGACAAACATCTCCACCCTTGCTTTGCAAAATATAGGGAATTCTAAATTTGTGCAATAGCTTTGCGGCCATTTTCAACATCAAATTTTCTATCAGTACCTAATACATGTTCACTATTATGGGAAAGCCAAGTGAAACAGAATACCTTGTCCCTATCCTGAAGGACCTTATAATGCAGCTGGGGAGACAGAACTTGAATTTGTGAAATGATGGCAAGTTAACCTAGATGGTGCACACTAGTTCAGAGAAGCTAGGAACCAACACAATGAAGAGCACCCAAAGCAATTTTCAGGAAAAAGTGAATTGTGAGCTGAGTCTTAAAGGACAGAGAGTATCTTAATAAAAATAATACCTTGATTAAAAAGATATCATGTAAACAGGGCAGCAATTGGCACAGCAATCATTGAATAATTGGCTTATTGATGCTGCTTACAGTTTAGGAAGCACTTTCTCATAAGAGGTCTCATTTCATATTTATAACAATAACTTTGTGATTGAGTGGGCAGGTGTCACTGTTTTCATTTCATGGGAAAGGAAACTGAGGCTTAGGAATGTTAAAAACACCACTCAAATTACAGAGCAGAAAATGAAACCCAAGTGTTCTGACTACGTAGCACAGGCTTCCCTCATTGTGAGAAGAGCATCAGGCAGTTCAAGCAGCCAGACCATCAGGAACAAGAGAAAGAAGCAGGGAGCCTTGGTAAACCCAATTACATGCCAGTTGCACAAGGGATGCTCTCTCAAAGGAGGCTGCCTGCTCTGCCTGCTCCCCTAAGTAGTACCCATATTCCCAGGTCACTGGCCCTTGCTTAGGAGGAGAAAGTTAGAGATGAACAACCTCCAGAGGCGAGAAATGGTGAACAAGTCACCACTTCCACAATCTCATTAGCACTGCAAACCTACACACATGTGCCTCAGACCTGCAGGTTGTCAATGCCGTTACTAAGCCTGAGGCCGAAAATAAATTAGGCTGTGTCTCAGAAAATCAAGGTTATGTTCCTCATATCAAGTATTAGCATGGATTCAAACACTACCTAGTGTTTTTCAAGCCACCTTTCTTTTCTCAGGCCCCTGCTTAGTAGCTTCAAGGGCTATCTTCTAAACCCTCCACTCAGATGTACCTCAGCACTGCCTAGAGAGGACTGGTGAGTTGAGCCAGCTACCCATAGTCTATTGGAGCCAGACCATAAGGCCCCTGGTAGGGGGCTTCAGTGTCTGCCTTTAGAATGAGGCTGCATTCTGGGGTTGCCCTTGGCAACCAAGCTGCTTCAATGGCTGTTATCTTTTAGAGAGCTGAGAGCCAGGGAGGAGGGGGCAGCCCTTGAACCATAGGATGCAGGGATCATGTCAGTCATTGTCTTTCTTTCTTGCTCCCTACCTGAGACCCCACTCTCCTGATGAGTTTAAACTTGTCTCCTTCGGGTCAACAGGTCAACTTGGCCAGTTCCTTGCACACTGTATGTTCTCAAATGACTATTTCATCCTTTTAATTTTTTTTTTTTTTACTTATTTTCATTTTATATGGAAGGTAGAGACACAGACAGAAACAGAGATCTTCCAACTGCTGGTTCACTCCCCAAATACCTGCAATAGCCAGGGCTGGAACAGACTGAAGCCAAGAGCCAGGAACTCCATCTGGTCTCCATCTGGTTTGTAGCAGAGAGTACTTGGGTCATTATTTACTGCATTCCTAGGAACATTAGCAGGAAGCTGGATCAGAAGCAGAGCAGCCAGGAGCCAGCACTGTGGCATAGCAGGTAAAGCCTCTGCCTGGCCAATGGTCCAAGTCCCTGCTGCTCCACTTCTGATCCAGCTCTCTGCTATGGCCTGGGAAAGCAGTAGAAGATGGCCCAAGTGCTTGGGCCTCTCTACCCGCATGGGAGACCCACAAGAAGCTTCTGGTTCCTGGCTTTGGGTCAGCAAAGCTCTGGCCATCATGGCCATCTGGGGAGTGGACCAGTGAATGGAGGGCCTCTCTCTCTCTCTCTCTCCCTCTGCCTCTCTGTAATGCAGTCTTTCAAATAAATAAATAAATAATTAAAAAAAAAAAAGAAGCAGAGCAGTCAGGACTTGAACTGGCACTCTGATGGGGAATGCTGGTGTTGCAAACAGTGACTTAACCCACTGAGCCAGGATTCTGGCCCTCATTTGTACTTTTAAGCTTCAACATCCATTTCTCCAGGAATCCTATCATTTTCTGTGCAAAGCAAGCATAGGTATCCCTGCCCATGAACCCCCGTGCATCATTCTTACCCTAACATACCCCATGGTTTAACATTTATCTGTTTTTATAAGGTTCTTTAGGAATGCATCTTATTCTAGCACAAAATGGCATGGCACACAGGCACAAAATAAATGCTTCTTGAATGGGTAAGTGAATAAAAAGAAACATAACACACCAAGAGAAAGACATGGGAGGTAGCACTGGGAGAAAGCAGCAGAGCACAGAGGGGTTCCATTATGACTCAGCTTCGCCGACAATGCTGGCTGTGTGGAGGGAGCAGGCTGGGGCCATCCAGGGCAGTCTTGAAAGCTGAATTAACACATTTAGGCCAGGAAAGTGGCAAGCTCAAAGCAGTGCTTTAGGAAGACAGATCCAGCCAGGTGTGCAGGACAGACTGGAGGGGAGAACAGAAGGGAAGGGAGACTATTCAGGAGACTTTTTTTGTTTTTGTTTTTGACAGGCAGAGTGGACAGTGAAAGAGAGACAGAGAGACAGAGAGAAAGGTCTTCCTTTTCTGTTGGTTCACCCTCCAATGGCCACTGCGGCCGGCGCACTGCGGCCAGCGCACCGCGCTGATCCAAAGCCAGGAGCCAGGTGCTTTTCCTGGTCTCCCATGGGGTGCAGGGCCCAAGCACTTGGGCCATCCTCCACTGCATTCCTGGGCCACAGCAGAGAGCTGGCCTGGAAGAGGGGCAACCGGGACAGAATCCAGTGCCCCGACCTGGACTACAACCTGGTGTGCCGGCGCCGCCAGGCGGAGGATTAGCCTAGTGAGCCATGGTGCTGGCCTCAGGAGGCTGTCTTGACAGTCCAGACTTGACATGTGAAGGGTCTAGACAAGAGCAGTGGTGGGGGAAATGCTAGGAAGAAATAAACCATCCAACTCTGTTGGCTGGCTTCTTTATGTAACCTGGAAACTTCCACAGCTACCTAACCTTGGTTAATTTAATATTCCGTGGTCGCCTTCTGAGCCAACTGGCCACCAGGTAATTTCTGCTCACAGACATCTTAGATGCTATGAAAGATGCTGCCGTTACTCCTAGGGGCTGAGGGGAACAGGGTGGAGGAATAGTCTAGAAGAACATTTCCCAAACCAGCAGTCCTGTGGTCCATTGTATATTAAAAGCTATGTTACAAAGAAAAAAAATGAGCTTTTGGCTCAGAAAATGTTGGGAAACTCTAGATTTAACAATGGGAAAAACTGTCTCTTGACTGGAATATGTCAGGGGGCTATAGACCTGTCTCATTAGTGTTTACCAACCTTAAATGGCAATGGAATGATTTTCATGCCACACCCATTCATTGCTCCTAAAGGAGCACTTATAAACAGCTGGAAGAATCTGGAATCCAGTTTGTTTGCCTTGCCTCCTGCAGGATGCATCTGGACTACATATGTCAAGCACACTGCCTACACACCCACCACCCTTGTTTAGCAGAGTAGCTTCACCCACAGCACTACCTCAGTACAGAGTAAGCATACAGAAGCTATTTACAAGCTATGACTCTAAAACAAGTCTGCCAGGATTCAAACCCCAGCTCTACCAACTAAAAGTTATCTAGCCTGAGTTTCAGTCTGCTTATCTACACAATGGGGAAATACTAGAATCTATTTCAAAAAGGTTACTTGAAGGATTACGTCAGTGAGATAGGCCATGAAGGACACTGCATTTTCCCGGCTGCATAGGAATCCCTCAATAAATCTGAGCTACTATTGTTATCTACCACTGTGTACTATGATAACACAAAAGCCCTCCAACCATAGCTCTGAACCAGGGTAACCAGGTGAGGCCTGGTATAAACAGGTGAGCAGGATCAGATTTCTCTCTTTGGAGAAATCAGAATGAACATGGGGCCAAATGTCTAACAGTGGAGGTAAAAACTGAAAAGATGTATACAGAGTGTCCAAGGGTTGCTGTCTATTCTAGCAATTAAGTTGCAGGTTAAGACATCCATGTCCCTGGGGCCATCGCTGTGGCATAGCTGGTAAAACCGCTGCTTGCATTGCTGGCAACCCATATGGGTGCCAGTTCGAGTCCCGGCTGCTCCACTTCTGATCCAGCTCTCTTCTATTATGGCCTTGGAAAGCAGTGGAAGATGGCCCAAGTAATTGGGCCCCTGCACCTGCATGGAAAGACCTGGAGGAACCTCCTGGATCCTGGCTTTGGATTGGTGCAGCTCTGGCTATTGCGGCCAACTGGGGGGTGAACCAGTGGATGAAAGACCTCTCTCTCTTTCTCTGCCTTTCCTTCTTTGTGTAACTCTCTTCTCTTCTTTTCTCTTTTGTTTTGTTTTCTTTTCTTTTCTTTTCCCTCCCTCCCTCCCTCCCCCCCCCCTCTTTCTTTCTTTCTTTCAAGATTTATTGATTTATTTGAAAGTCAGAGTTACACAGAGAGAGAAGGAGAGGCAAACAGAGAGAAAGAGGTCTTCCATCCACTGGTTCACTCCCCAGATGGCCTCAGGGGCTGGAGCTGCGCCTATCAGAAGCCAGGAGCCAGGAGCTTCCTCCAGGTTTCCCAAACGGGTGCAGGGGCCTCCAGTCCCATTTGTGGCTGTCCCTGTGTCTCAATGTCTCAATCTGTTTTGTGCATCTGTAACAGAATATCTGAGACTGGGTAATTTAAAAGAACACAGTTTGTTTGCTTTGTTTTGTTTTTGTTACAGTTCTGAAGGCTGGGAGGTCCAAGGTCAAGGAGCCTGTACCTGGTGAGGGTGTTCTTGCTCTGTCATTCCACAGCAGACTGCACACATGAAAAAACAACAGATTGAAATCATTGCCTCAAGTCCTTTTATTTATCATCAGTATCAAACCATTCATGAGGGCTCCACGCTCAGGACTTAAACACCTCCCAGTAGGCCCCACCTCCCAATACTGATGCACTGAGGATGAAGTTTCCAACACTTACACTGGGAGACATATTCAAATCATAGCACCCTGTTTCCCCCTTTTATCAGAGCAGCTTTGGGCCCTCAGATATTTCAAGCTAGCTGCTTCCTGGCTGGGATGCCAACTCAATAGGTGTTTATAGACTCACTGTCAAGAGCCAGAAGCTAATGCCATATCTTCCATGACTACAGGGGATACCAGTTCCCCACATCTTCTACTCTTCCTCCCTTTTTCCTTGATCTCACCACCCACATATCTTTCTAGTGGCTTACCTTAAATCCAACAGCTTTCACACATCCCAAAGAGAAGCCTTTGGATTTAACAGACAGAATTAAGAAATGAAGGAAATAATTATTTCTACTAATATGATACAAGGTAATTAATACAAGGTAAAATTTTATGTTATACTACTTTATCTGATTTGGCTAATAGCTCTCTGAGAGTCATTAGTATTTCCATTTTAGATATGAAAAACTAAAGCTCAAGGTCATATAACCACAAAAGGTAGAACCAGGACTTGAACTCAGCACATCTCATCTTAAGCCAGGGGTCGATCAACTGTTCCCTCCAGTATAGCCTCAGGACCCGGGGCTAGACCAGGAATCAACCCTTCTGCTGAACATGTCTCTGGGCAGGTCATACTCAGTTCTGTGGATTTGTGGGGAAGCTGCACCCCAAATACCTAGCTTAGCCTCTGGAACTCACTTTTTAGAGGAGGTGAGCTGGAAAGGACATCCGGAGATGCCATAAGCAAAATCTTGGATCAGAGCGACTCTGCCTGCTCTTGTCACACACCCTCCTCTGGGGAAATTCCCAGTAGTTGTGATATGGTCAAGTTCAATATTCTATCCTAATATGGTCTGACAGCAGCTAAAAGGCTGGAGTGGGAAGATAGGAAGACTGAAAATCCCTCAGTGGAAACATGGTTTCTTGTTACCACCATTTCTGATCTCTGAGTACCAGGGACTCAGAAAGTCTCAAGCACCACAATTATCTGATGGGTTTTGAGTCTCATTCATTAGCCATGGTAAGAGACGTCTCATCCTTCTCTGACCTCCAGGGAAAGCCCGAATCAAAGCACTCTGAGGAGAATGAGCAGTCTGACTTCTCCCTTGGTTCCTCTCTTTAGACCTGTCCCTCTTCTCTGGGAACCAGCGTCTTTAGAATCATGGGTCTTCCCTGCCCTCTCCTCAATCACTAGCATCATCACAGATCTCTGAGAGCATCCCAAAGTCCCCAGGTTTTTATCTTCTGAATCCTGCAACTCAGACTTTATTATGGGGGACAGGGGAAGCATACATTCTTCGTTCCTTCTCTCCTCTTTCACTTGTAGTGCTGAGAAGGCAGGTGGTCTGAGCCCCACTTCTACCTACCAAAACTGCTACCCCTGCCAGTTCTACCCCAGCTACCTGTGCCTGTAAAGGCACACACACTCACACTAAGGGAACCACAAAGTTCCCCTGGGAAACTTAAAAAAAAAAAAAAAGCCAACAAAAACAGACTTAACACTTAACAACTGTAAAGAGCGACTCCAAGTGGACACACAGGAAAGCTCCAAGCCTTTTTAGTTTTCTCCTAACACACATTTCTCTCTCCCCACTCTGGGCCAAGAAAGATGTTAATGGAGTCATCCATTAAATGCAGCAGCTGCCAGAGCCTTAGGCTAACTGGGCAGAGGGCCTGAACCCATTTACTCAAAAACACAGCCCCCTCCACATAATCTCAGGTTTTTATCTTTTCATTTCCACGTTGTGCTTCAGCCAGGTCATTCAGTGGCAACTCCCTGAGAATCTCACGCTTGCTTAGAGTCTGCCTATCTGCCAGCCACAAAGACAGCACATGGAGAGACGGGAGGAGGCTGGTAGGCAGTGTCTATCTGCAAGTACCTCCCAAAGGCCCATCAGGTGAGAAAACGTTACTGTAAGTTCTGGTTGAGTAATCTTCATGAAAGGTGTAACTGTGAGAATTTACTACAATATCATGGTCTACAAGCCATTCACAGAAGGAAGACTGCCTGTTTCTGAGGACTCTGGCCCTGAGACCAACACCCACCTGTCATTCCTATCTCATACCTGCCCTGCCCCCCACTGTGAACTATTAAGTTATACATTTTACCAGCTGTTTAGAATGAAGACAACAAATCAACCAATTTATGGTGGGAAAACCCTAAATTATAAGCTCTAGTTTAAGTACTGGCAAATTGTGGCAACATGACTTGGTCAGAGTGGAACTCTGACTAAATAAAATTCTGCCTCGGGCCGGCGCCGCAGCTCACTAGGCTAATCCTCCGCCTTGCGGCGCCGGCACACCGGGTTCTAGTCCTGGTCGGGGCACCGGATTCTGTCCCGGTTGCTCCTCTTCCAGGCCAGCTCTCTGCTGTGGCCAGGGAGTGCAGTGGAGGATGGCCCAAATACTTGGGCCCTGCACCCCACGGGAGACCAGGAGAAGTACCTGGCTCCTGCCATTGGATCAGCGCGGTGCGCCGGCCGCAGCGCGCCGGCCGTGGCGGCCATTGGAGGGTGAACCAACAGCAAAGGAAGACCTTTCTCTCTGTCTCTCTCTCTCACTGTCCACTCTGCCTGTCAAAAAAAAAAAAAAAAAATTAAAAAAAAAAATAAATAAATAAAATTCTGCCTCCATGGTTCTTTCTGCTTCCCTCAGCTTCCTCTTTGGCCTATGATCCTCTGAGAAGCCATTCCACAAACATTAACTACATGTCACTGTGTGGCAGGCTGCTCTTCCTGGAACAACCCTCGGGTTCATGGCAAGACTGCTTCCTCTTTTGCATTGCTATCACACAACCCCATAGACTGCATGGCTTAAACAACAGAAATGTATTTTCTCACAGTTCTGGAGCTGCAAGTCTGTGCTGGGAGTGGGAAGAAGGTAGAAAATGTGTGAGAGAGCAAGAAAGAATGTGTGCAATGAAAGCCCCACAGTATTATTCCTAAAGGGGCACTAACCGTCACCACCCAGGCTCATCTTCACCTCATCTAAACCCATCACTGGGTTCAAATACCATCACACTGGGGGGTTAGGGCTTGAACATATGAATTTTGGAGACACATAATTCAGTCCATAGCAGCTATCATTTTGTAAACAGGGAAAACAGGCAAACGTTGGGCAGATTTGTTCAATGCAGCTGTTTCTGGCCAGCCATTTCCCTTGCATCTACATTCTTCTAGGAATCCCATTTGTTGACTGATGCAAAAGAGATGTTAGATGCCAAATATCTGGGCCAGGCCTAGGATTTCCCAACTGTTTGACTTTCCTCTCTCTTCTGCAGGTGCAGCTTTTTGCTCCAGGAAAATCAGGCTGGGACTGTTCACAAGTCTCAGTCCTTGGTAAGTATTCTGTAGGTGACAGCAGAGGCATCTGTGCGCACTCCCACCCAGCTCAGGCTTTGAAGCCTGGGAGCAGAGCCATTAACATTCTCTTCAGCATGCAGACAGTTCTCTTCAGCCCTTGTTAGTCTCATTTTCTTCCCTCCTGACTTTCTCATCAAGAGAAGCGGCTTTCTTGTTCCTAGAACCTTTTCTTCTCTTCAAAGATCTCTGGGCTCCAGGGACGCCTGTGGCCAAGAGGCTTGCCAGACACTTTCGGATTCCCAATGAAGAAACTATGTCACCAGCCCTGCAGCTAAGAACCCAAACACACTCACTCGCCTCGCAGATGACTTCAGGATTGAGCAAGGACCCGCCAGGAGGCTGGCCCTCCCTATGGCTTCCTAAACATTCTGCTGGGGCTGGGCTAGGGTTACAGAAGCTGTTCTGCTGAGCACCCCCTTCTACTGGATTTAGGCTATTTCCATAGAGGAAGTCAAGGAGGGTCATGGGTCCTGCCTTCAGAAAGCAGAATCCATCCACTCCCCTTCCTCCATTCTGCAGCTAAGAGGGGAGGTGGGGAGGACTCTACTTCACAGAATTCCGATAGGCTGGACAGGGGCAGAGGAGCAGGCTCAGTGAGAATGCCATTCACACCTCTGTTACTTAAGAGCTTCCATCTATCCAGCTGTGTGGCATGTGCTTTGAAAGCAGTAAAAAGCAATCTCAGAGAAGCTTAAACTGTATTAGCCCCAAAGTCAATTTCTTAAGTAGTCTACAGAGCTTAGTAACAGGGACTCCAGTGCCTGCAATTCAGACAACAGTGAGTCTGGCAGATAGTAATTCAGGTTCATTATCCAAACTTTCCTCTTAAGGCTCCTCTTTCCCACCAAAAGCCACTGGTTAGATCCCATGTCCTGCCCCAGGTTTTCTAGGGTAAGGTTATTATGCTATAGTCCTGTACCACCAAAAACTTGGTTCTGTCATCTTCCCCTCCCTTATGCCTTGTTGTTATCTCAGGCACAAAAGCACTTACTCCTTCTGACTGCTTCTGTGGTAATTCCAGGGACATAGGTGAAAACAACCTCCCATCATGGCTCATACGTCAGCAAAGTTCTCTGCAGACAAGACAACAGTTACAGCAACAGGCATAATCAATTTTTATTCATTGCCTGTCCCTTCTGGCCCCAGAGCTGGGTCCAGCATCATCCTGCACGATGCCCAGGTGGGCACACAGACACACAGAGAAGGACTGCTACTCCATCTGCTGGTTTGACGGAGGCTTCAGGTAGGAACCCTTGAATTGCTTGGCAAGGCAGACTCTGGCTCTGAACTGAAGACCCAAATGTCTTTTCATCATGATAAAAAATATATATTCAGCACTTTTGTCAAAGGTGATGCCATCTACCCCTCCCACCTAAAACGCACAGACACAAATGCAGCTAAAAACCACAGAGCCAAGGATTACTGATCTCTAAAGGAAGCTGGGGAAGCAAGCAAGTTTAGCAGCCTCTGGGTCTGCTCTGGGCAAGCACTGTTTTGGGGTAATAAGGAGGCCTGCTTAGAAGAAGAAGACAGTTTCAAACCAAGGATGGAGAGTACAAAAACACAGATGAGGTTTGCATTTCCATGTTTCCATCAAGCCCTTCTCTAACTTGAAATTCTTCAGGGGCCAGCACTGTGGTGTAGTGGGTAAAGCCACTGCCTGAGGTGTGGGTATCCTATATGGATGCCAGTTCAAGTCCTTGCTGCTCCATTCCCATCCAGCTCCCTGCTAATATGCCCGAGAAAGCAGAAGATGGTCCAAGTGCTTGGGCCCCTGCATCTACACGGGAGATCTGTTAAAAGCTCCTGGCTCCTTGCTTCATAATGGCTCACCTCTGACCGCTGAGGCTGTTTGGGAGTGAACCAGCAGATGGGAAGTCTCTCGCTCTCTCTCTGTAACTTTCAAACAATAAAACAAAGTGGGGGGAGGACAGCTATTGTTGTGGCATACCAGGTAAAGCTGCCACCTGAGACACATGGGCACTGGTTCAAGTCTAGGCTGCTCTGCTTCCAGTCTGACTCCCTGCTGGTGTGCCTGGGACAGCAGTGGAGGATGGCCTGGGTGCTTGGGCTCCTGCACCCATGTGGGAGACCCAGAGGAGATTCCTGACTCCTGGTTTGGGCCTGGCCCAGCCCCAGCAGCCATTTAGGGAGTGAACCAGTGGATGAAAGATCTCTCTAATTCTCTCTATATATATATATGTCTTTCTCTCTGTGTGTAACTCTGACTTTCAGGTAAATAAATAAATCTTAACAACAATGTGGCTTTCTTTGTATAAAAAGCTTCTTCTGCAATTATTTAACTATTCCACAGGATCAATGGGCCATCCAGATTCATTTTTCTGCTCTTTTTCTTTTTCTTTTTTTCTTTTTTTAGATTTATTTATTTATTTGAAAGGGAGAGTTACAGAGGCAGAGAGAGAGAGAAAGATCTTCCATTTGCTGGTTCACTCCCCAAATGGCCACAACAGCTGGAGCTGGGCTCATTTGAAGCCAGACGCCAGAAGCCAGGAGCTTCTTCCAGGTCTTGCAGGTGGGTGCAGGGGCCCAAGGACTTGGGTCAACTTCTACTGTTTTTGCAGGCCATAACAGAGAACTGGATTGGAAATGGAGCAGCCAGGACTTGAACCAGAACTCATATGGGATGCAGGAAATGTAGATGGAAGCTTTACCTGCTATGCCACAGCACCAGTCCCAGTGCTCAGTTTCTTATTTATTCTTTCTGAAGTCAAGGAAAGGATGGGGTTCCATTTAATGCACTGAAGACAATTACAGAAAAGAATGATGTCATTACCCACCCCTACTCAGAACTTAATTACCTGGTTTCTGAAATCCCTTGTTTGACCACAGCAACTGCATTGTGTTATCTGGACATTAAACCAGCAGATATTCCCATATCCAGTCCCTGGTTCACACCAAAGTGAGGGGCCAGCACGGCCAGCAGAGAGAGCATTTTCATGGACAACAGTTGGAAATCAGTTATAGGACTCTAAAACTTTTCACCTGTAACAAGGGTTAAAAAGAAGTTGTTTGAGGGCCGGTGCTGTGGCTCACTAGGCTAATCCTCCGCCTTGCGGCGCCGGCACACCAGGTTCTAGTCCCGGTCGGGGCGCCGTATTCTGTCCCGGTTGCCCCTCTTCCAGGCCAGCTCTCTGCTGTGGCCAGGGAGTACAGTGGAGGATGGCCCAAGTGCTTGGGCCCTGCACCCCATGGGAGACCAGGATAAGTACCTGGCTCCTGCCATCGGATCGGCGTGGTGCGCTGGCCGCAGCGCACTGGCCACGGCGGCCATTGGAAGGTGAACCAACGGCAAAGGAAGACCTTTCTCTCTGTCTCTCTCTCTCTCACTATCCACTCTGCCTGTCAAAAAATAAAAAAAAAATTAAATTAAATTAAAAAAAAAGAAGTTGTTTGGGGCTGGTGCTATGGTGTAACAGGTAAAACCGCCGCCTGCATTGCTGGCATCTCATATAGGCGCTGGTTCGAGTCCTGGCTGCTCCACTTCTGATCCAGCTCTCTGCTATGGCCAGGGAAAGCAGCGGAAGATGGCCCAAGTCCTTGGGCCCCTGCACCCTCATGGGAGACCCAGAAGAAGCTCCTGGCTCCTGGCTTCAGATAGGTGCAGCTATGGCCGTTGCAGCCAATTGGGGAGTGAACCAGCAGATGGAAGACCCTTCTCCCTCTCTCTCTGCCTCTCCTTCTCTCTCTGTGTAACTTTTTGAAGTAAATAAATAAATCTTTAAAAAAGAAAAAAATAAGAAGCTGTTGGAGGCTGGTGCTGTAGCACAACAGGTAAAGCTGCTGCCTGCAGTGCCGGCATCTCATATGGGCATCAGTTCGAGTCCCAACTGCTCCACTTCTGATTTGGCTCTCAGCTGTGGCCTGGGAAAGCAGTGGAAGATGGCCCAAGTCCTCAGACCTCTGAACCAGTGTGGGAGACCTGGAAGAAGCTCCTGTCTCCTGTCTTCAGATCTGCTCAGCTCAGGCTGTTGCAGCCACCTTGGGAGTGAACAAGCAGATGAAAAACCTCTTTCTCTCTGCCTCTGCCTCTCTGTACCTCTGCTGGTCAAATATATCAATAAACCTTTTGTTTTAAAAATTGTTTAATATTAATTTTTTTTTCCAAAAAAGATTTATTTATTTGAAAGGAGGAGTTACAGAGGGAGAGACAGAGAAAAGAGACCTTCCAGCCACTAGTTCACTCCCCAAATGGCCACAATGGCTGGGGCCAGGCCAGGACAAAGCCATGGATCAGAAATTCCATCCTGTTCTCCCACATGAATGGCAGGGACCCAAGCACTTGTGCCATCTTCTGCTGCCTTCCCAGGTGCATAAGCAGGGAACTGGATTGGACGTGGAGCAGGTGGGACTCCAAATGGCATTCAAATGGGATGCCAAGGTTGCAGGAGGTAGCCTCAATGCTGAACCCAACAGAATGTTTTTGAAAAAGATTTAGTAAGAAATATTGGTGAGCTAAGAGTACCCTCCTGCAAAGAGAGATACCTGTGTTTCACCACAGAATGAATGATGTATCTCGCAGTTAGCAGGGCAGAGTGGACCAATTTATGGTTCCAGCCTAAGAAACTTATGGGTAACAATATATGCTAGCAGCTGTTTTTTGATGATGCTGCCCATGGTTTCAGAGCTTCTTTGTGCAGAGTGTGTTTCTTAGAAACCTGAGGTAGGCCACATGCTTGAGGGGATGGCTTAGAGATCATCTTAGAGGCTTTCCATGGATGTTAGCTGCAAAATGGAAACAGACTGGTGCATTAAGGAGCACAGTGGAAGAGGGCAGCTTACAAAGGGAGTGCACTTGCCCAGGTCACGTCACAGGAACTGCAGCAGAATGCATGTGTGTGTGACAGTGAGAGAGTATATGTGTGTGTGTCAGAGTTAGAGTATGTGTGTGAGTCTGTGTGGGAGAATGTATGTGTCTGAGAAAGTATGCCTATGTGTGTGTGTGAAACAGAGAGAGAAAAAATGTGTGTGTGTGAGAGAGAGAAAGAGAGAAAAACAGAAGGAGAGAGAGAGAGAGAGAGAGAGAGAGAGAGAATACATCAAGTCAGATTTAAACACTGGCTATGCCTGGAGAGCACAAAGCTTCAATAATATGAGACAAGTACAATATTTACTATTACTTCCCACTCCTTGTGCTCTAATCCTGGCAGTGTCAGAAAATTCAAGACTTACAGCAAGTCCCACATGAGAAAGGACAAACAGCTCACCTTAAAAAAAAAAAAAAGATTTATTTATTTGAAATACTGAGTTACAGAGGGAGACAGAGAGAGGGAGGGAATGAATCTTCCATCTACTGGTTCATTCCCCCAGTGGTTGCAACTACCAGGACTGGGCCAGAAGCCTGGAATTCCATCCAGGTCTCCCACATTGGTGGCAGGGGCCAAGTCCTTGGCCATCATCTGCTGCCTTCCCAGGCATGTTATCAGTAAGCTGGATGTGAAGCATACTAGCTGGGATTTGAACCAGCACTCTGATTTGGGATATAGGTATCCCAAGTGTTTGCTTAAACCCCTGTGCTATAAGCCTAACTCTCTCCACCAGTGAGCATTTTAAGTATCTAACGAAAAGTATGTTTTACTATGGAAAATGACTATGGGACTTCCTCACACCTACAGGAAATCCAAAAAAGTATTTGTCCAATAGAAGAGTTAGGACCATCACTACAAAGCAAGTTTAAAGAAACAATGGAAGCCAAAAACAAAGTTCCTCTTATGATTATACCCCATGTCAGTTTTCCAGTTGCAATTATCAAAGTTGTTTCTTAACCCTTACTTTAAAACACAATGAAAACACCACTCAGGTGGGCATCTGGCCTATTGGTTAAGATAGATTAAGAATTGGGGCCAGCGCCATGGTGTAGTAGGTTAATCCTCCGTCTGTGGTGCCAGCATCCCATATGAACTCCGGTTCTAATCCCGGCTGTTCCTCTTCCAATCCCGCTCTCTGCTGTGGTCTCAGAAAGCAGTAGAAGATGGCCCAAGAGCTTGGGCCCCTGCACCTACATGGGAGACTGGGAAGAAGCACCTGGCTCCTGATTTCGGATTGGCGCAGCTCTGGCTGTTGTGGCCATCTGGGGAATGAACCAACAGAAGGAAGACCTTTTTCTCTGTCTCTTTCTCTTACTGTCTATAACGCTACCTCTCAAATAAATAAATGAAATCTTTAAAAAAAAAAAAAAAGATTAAGAA